AATAACGTGCAAGATTTCCAAAATCGGATGAGTTCGTGCAACTCACAAGTCAATATTTCTTTCTTTAAGTCACCCGGAATGCTTTGGCAAAAACCATGTTGGCGGCTGAATCTATGAGGACTGTACGCTTCAATGATGTGTTCTGCTTCACAACGGAATGTCAAATAGCTGGATCGCAAGGCCACAAGAATATCTTTGCATTTGCTGGAGAGTTTGGCATCGTCCGTGACTAAAATTTCTTGCTTGGAATACCACAGGTCTCGGAGCTTTGACATATTGATATTATGAAACAAGTCGCGCGCCTCATCGAGATCAAAATGTTTAGCCATGTTCTCTCCCGCGTATTTCACCATATGAGCGCCGATTACCTCGAGTTTGGAATGAAAGTGAGTCTCGAGAGTATGTCCTATCCATGCATAAAGATAGTGAATGGGAAAAATAATAGGAGACTCGCCTAAATTCTCTGATGCAGATATTCCCCTTAAGCCGCGGTAGATGCTTGCCAGTGCAGGAACTGCCAACGAAAAATATTCTCCTCTAGCCATTCGACTTGAAACCTTAAAAACAGAGGCGCGTATCTTATCAATTGATCCGTGAGGGAGAGCAAAACTACAAAGCCAACATGCAATGAACGCGGCCAAGTAAGTTTCTTCTTTAATATCTTCTTCGACTTTGAGCGTTGCAAACGGTATGTCGTATTCCTTGGGGCGAGATAACTTTGACGCATCGACCTTTCCACAAGGATTGCGAGAAAGTTTTGGCCTAGAAGTCCTCTTTCTTGATAACCTTAAAGGAGGCTCGCTATATCTGGTCGGCCCTTTAAACCAAAAGTCAATCCAATCGGAGAGTAGTACGCCGCTGGAATCCTTTGAAAGTCTGTGGTACGCCATGAATAAGTACTTGCAACTACGAGGTAAGGAAGTTCCACGAGAGTCGTGATTGAGGAGCTCTTTCGCTGAAGGAACCACTTCGTCGTAGAAGCCTCCATGAATGGGCAGCCCGCATAGTCCGCGTATGTCCCATAGGGAGATCGATAATTCTCCATTAGCCGTGTGCAAAGTGTTCGTAGAAGGGCACCATAATTCCAGAAAAGCTCGAAGAATCCTTTTGTTGCAAACGTACGTGAATAACGAGGCATGAATGGCAGCATATATCTTGGCTTGGCGAAGGGTGTCCGCATAATGGCCTAACACGTCTTCCGTCCACTCCCAATAGCCGACGTGAAAGGACACCTCTCCAAAGTTGGACGGTGGGATTTTCCACGTGCCTCCCTTGAATGAGAAAGGACGATGTGGGAGTACGAAATCCACAGGTTTAGCTTTTTCGTCGTGAAGCGAGGACCTCAGCAGCAAGACTCGTGAGCGGGAAGAAGAGCCGGAACGAGAGTCAATTGTTTCCCTAGTAGCCTCCTCGGACCAATTGGAAAGGTGCATGGATTTTTCGATGGATCGTGACTGGGAAGATAAGCAGTTTGAAGCCGGTTCATGAACGCGCAAGGTTGTACCTTTGATTTTGAAGTTGTCCTTATCGTTGCGAATAACGATGCATGGGAAAGGTTCATCTTGATCTTCGATATACATCTCTGCGAGTTCCCTACAGATTTTCAAAAAAAAAAAAAAAAAAAAAAAAAAAAAAAAAAAAAAAGGAAATAGTCTGAATCAAGAAGCAGGAAAAGGAATGATAATACAACTCTATTGGAAGAAAGTTGAATGCAAATTCAGATATAAACGGCAATTTGGATTTTTTTTTCTTCATTGAGTCAAATTCACAAACACGTTGTATGCGTTGCTCTTCAAGATTGTTGTTTGTGTTAAGATGGGACAAAGCTTACCGTTTGATCAAGCAAAATACTACGAAGAAAAAAAAAAAAAAGAAGAAGATTACTACTGCTTATGCAATGCGTGGATGGAGAATAAAGACTACACCTAAAGCTCTTTTATAGTTTTCTTTCGAATTGTTGGTCAAGAAAGCAATAAATGTTGACAAGGAAATTTCACAAGACAAAGATTTCTTTTCTTCAGATAATTGCAATATTCGGAGAAGGAGATTCATGTGCCAAAGGAAATTCCCAAGTTATTGATTAAATAAAAAAGAAATAATAAAAAAAAAAAAAAAAAAAAAAGGAAACGGGAAGATCTCTTCGGTTTCTGCTGTCCGCACTTCTAGTTGGAATATGCTTTGAAGATGATCTCATGTGTATGGTCTATATACACCATTAATATGGGGCCCATCTCCCCATTAAAAAAAAAAAACATGGAGAATGCAGTATTTGGCTGCCAATTATGCCGTGAGTTTATTTTGCCTAACTGGGCCATAGCGATTTATATATATATATATATATATATATATATATATATATATATATATATATATATATATATATATATAGATATATATATATATATATAAAAGGGCTTGAAATGTCCAAACGGCCCACTATGAATTTTGTCGCTAAATAACACCGAGATTTCGTCAACCGAAGAAAGAGAGATATATCTGGATACTTCAAGTCTCGTCTTCAACAAACATTCGACATGCTCTCCGCCGAGACTTGAAGTGGGGGCATTTGTTGACATCGAAATTGAGATTAAATTACGAATTAATGGTCCAAATAAATTGGTTATTAATTTGGATCTCGATTGAAAGTCCATAATAAATTTGGGCTTATATCCATTTTTTGAGATTAAATTACAAATTAATAATCCAAATAAATCGGTTGTTAATTTGAATCTCAAGTCAAAGCCCGTGAAGAGTTTGGGCTTTATATCGAAGTCCATACTAAATTTGGGCTCCGCAAATGTGCGATGTGAGTTAACTCAAAATAAGTACTAAATTCTTATTCATTTGGGTTAGCTATTTGGGCTTATAAAATCTAGCCCACGTGAAGTGGCAAGTGGTCAAGCCCACCGGTCCAAGTTTCAAGTCAAGAAACCCTAAATCGAGCCTATAAATGGAGGTATTTAAACACACACAAAGGGACACAAGGAGACGAGGAAAAAGTACACAAGCATCAAGCAAGGCGTACATCAAGCACTCAAAAGCTCTCAAGTCTCGAGCTCTTGCCACGACGAAGAACAACAACCGCGGAGGTTCTACATCTTCATCAAGGCACCAAATCCACAAGACCTAGAAATCCCCAAATCGATTTCTATATATTCATATCTACTTCCGCAAATCAACGGTGGAATCAAGCTCTCAATTCAAGAACAAGCTTCGGCCCTTGGATTATGTCTAGGAGAAGAATCAGAGGAATCAACAAAGATTGTAACCCATTTTCGTTTTGATTAAAATATAATTATTTGTTCCTATTTTTTTTTGTCTTGTAATTTATTTTGCAGACATTTAAATTTGAGGTTAACAATATCATGGTTTATTGAAAGCTTATCTCAATAAGGAAAAGATTATGGAAAATATTTGATTGTCAAGATGGTGATTATGAGATATTGGGAGCTGATACGATTATGATTGCAATCTCAAGGAATATATTTTGTACAAATTTAGCTATGCACGTTTTGTGTATATAAAGCCATATGTGCACAGTGTAAAACATATGAAAATAATATATGATTTCTTCTTCAATGTTCTGCTATTCTTTTCATTATTTTACATGGTACCAGAGCAAATCCTGAATTTTTTCCTTTAAATAAAAATCACCATGAGTAACGATAAAACACCAGCAACCCTTACCACCACTCCGGACCTTTCCGACCCTTTCCAATTGCACTCTTCTGATCATCCTGGTGCAAGCTTAGTCACCAAACCTCTTAATGGTGATAATTATGCAACATGGAGCAGATCGATGAGCATTGCTCTTAGTGCCAAAAATAAAATAGGGTTCATAGACGACTCTATCAAAAGGCCATCTATCGCAGATCCAAAATTTGCAGGATGGAAAAGGTGCAATGACATGGTGTTATCATGGCTCCACAATTCGATTGATCCGTCATTATCAGACAGTGTTATCTACACTGAATCAGCGTCGGCGGTTTGGGCAGATCTAAAAGATCGTTTTTCACAAAATAATGCCCCAAGAATTTTTCAATTGCAAAGGGATATTGCATCACTACATCAAGACACTACCTCGGTTATGGCTTACTTCTCTAAATTAAAGAGCCTGTGGGATGAACTTTCATCCTATAATGATCTTCTGGTGTGTACTTGTGGAGCAAACTCCAAACTTGCTGAACGAGACGAGTTAAACAAGGTAATGCAATTCCTAATGGGGTTAAATGACACATATTCAGCAATTCGTGGCCAAATTTTGTTGTTACAGCATCTACCCTCCATTGGAAAAATTTATGCCATGGTCTTACAAGAAGAAAGGCAGAGAGATATCACCATCTCCAAAGAAGTCATG